AACCACTGACAGTGAGCATTCTGCCCTTGGCCGCCCTCTGGCAGCATCTGGGCCGTTTCTGACAACGTGGGAAACGCCCACCCCACGCGCCATCCTGCCCCTATAGGTATTCTGTTTGGAACTTCTGGCAGGCCCCCAAAATACCCACCTCACCTGACCTGGCATTTTCCCAAACTTCCTGCAAACCTTGACTTAACTCAAATTCAATCTCAAATCCTATGTCATCCTCTTTAAGGAGGCTTCCTTGTCGCTTATGTCCCTTCGCTCCAGCTGTGCTGGGGACCTTCCACTCCCCCGCTGCCCCCACCCCTTCAAGGCTGGTGGGAGCAGGAAGCAGGTCAGGTGGGGGGGTTCCTGGTGCTTCCTTGGACCCCTCTCCCCTCCCAAAGGCCACAGCTGCCCTTGAGGGGGCCCCCACCTTTTGGAGTCCAGCTATCCCTCCTTCCTGTTGCCTGTCCAAACCCGGGCATGGGAGTAGCCCTGAGAGTACAGACTCTGGACAGTGCTACCCTTGGTGGCTTCGCTGCTCCCTGCCTGCACCCCAGCAAACAGGCCCAATGTTGAACTCTCTTCCAATCCTCCCAGCGGGAGTGTGTTACCTGCCTCCTGCGGAGACCCTGCCCAACTAGCAGATGGCGCAGGGCTGTGCCCTTGATCATGGCAATGGGCACTCAGGATTGCAACGGCCAGTCTCTGCACAGAGCCACGAAAGGCTCTGGGTTTGCAGAGCCCAGCACAGGGCAGGGCACAGAGGCAGCCTTTACGAACACGTGTTGAATCAATGAGTGGGCTGTGCCCGTCATTCGCGGGAGTGAGGCTTCTCTCCAGGAGCACCACGCCCTGGCGGTGCTCCTACTACGGCGACGAGACTGTTGCTCACTACAAGCATGGGACAGTGTGCGCCAGAGAGAGCCCAGGCCTGTCAGCAGTGAGGGGACAACAGTCCCGGGGGAAGGCATTTTTACACGATAGAACAATTGATCTCTCAAACGTTTTGATTCTATTTTCCACTTATTGTAGTTTGATGAAACTGAGCAAGTAATATGACAATTTCATGTATTTGGATTTTAAAGGGAAAACCATTTTGGCCTTTAAATAAGCTGATATGGTGGGAACTACTAGCCTAGAAATGTTTCTCACTGAGCCACACCAACCAACACTTGTGTGACGCCAGGGGTGAGCGTCACGTGAGTGGTCCAGAGCTCAAGAGGACCAGCCTCTGGTATTTCCTGGGTGACTTTGCTCAATCAGGTGACCATCCCAAGATCTAACATTCTTACCTGTAAAGGGACAGAGGTGACTGCTAAGGAGTAATACCCAGGAGTCAGTGGGTCTCTAAACAGCAACAGGAAGAATCCTGGAGACCAAAGCCCCTCCCCCATCTCCAGAGGCAGCAGTGACGCCCTCCCACGGAGCAGGGGCCCAACAACAGGTGGCTGAGCTGTCAGCTGCCGGCTCTGGTTGAGAAAAGTGAATCATTCACCAGCACTAGCCAGGCCAGGAGAGGGTGTGTCCCCATTGCTAACCAAGTCACTACATTCCCTCCCTAGAGAAGACAAAACCTCCGTGAGTGGAGGAAAACTTCAGTCCCTCCACAACCCTGTCCCCCCCTCTACCCCTAAGAACTGTTCTCTGATGCCTCCTCGACCTCAACCCCTACAGCAAACCAAGAGAACAGATACACATTTTCCTTATAGAGGCCCAGTAAGGAAACAAGAAGTTATGAATCTAAACAATGGACCAGTGACCAGCCATCGTGTGACAAGTGGCAAACTTGGCTGCCATTGCCAAACAGTCTGTTATCTGGAAGTTTCTTTTCCCTAAGCAGGTAGACGTCTATGGCTAATGGAACCTCTCTAGTGTGGTTATTTGAGAGAGTGACAGCAGACACTGGCTCCTGGAAGTTGAGCTTTTATGACACTCTCTGAGCAGCGGTTTTCAAAACGAAATGCAGAACTGGAGGAACACTACTTTTCACACTGCAACCCAGTCACTGTGCTTCTATTTTTTAGATTTTATCCATAATTTAAAAAGTATCACAAAAAAGTAATTAGCTTTGGTGTGAGCCGCATGCCATGACATTTTCTGTTCTATCAGCTTGTATTCTATTCTATTTTATTACCAACTCACTAAATTGATTTCGTAACTGTGACTCACAATTTGAAAAACACTAGTTTAGTGGGGCTTTGGAGGCTGGATGCAAAAGTTTTTTGATTTTGAAAAAATATTAAATCAATAAATTATAATTGTATACATTTATAGGATATGTGATATTTATACACACACACACACAGACACACAATATGGAATGATTAAATCAATCCAGTTAACATATATGTAACTTCACTTACCTATCATTTTTTTAAGGTGAGACATTTGAAATTTACTCTTGGTTATTTTGAAATATACATTGTATTGATTATAGTCACCCTGCTGTACAACAGACCTCAAAACTTATTCCTCCTATTTGAAACTCTGTACCCTTTGACCAACATCTCCCCATTCCCTCTCCCTGACCCCAGCCTCTGGGAACCACTGCTCTACTCTCTGCTTCGGGAAGTCTGATTTTTTTAGATTTTATATGAGTGAGATCACACAGTTGCTTGTCTTTCTGTGCCTGGCTTATTTCACTTCACATAACACCCTCTAGGTTTATCCACGGTGTCGCAAATGACAGGATTTCCTTATTTTCGAAAGCTGACTAGTATCTATTGTGTGTACCATGTTTCCTTTATCTGTTCAGCCACTGCAGCAGTTGGTTCCCCGACCTGGCTGCGATGAACATGGAAGTGCAGATACACCTTCAACATACCGATTTCGATTCCTTCGGATATACAGCCAGCAGTGGGACTACTGGATCCTATGGTAGTTCAATTTGTAGGTTTTTGAGGAACCTCCATACCATTTTCCCTGATGGATGTATTAATTTACATTCCCATCAACAACAGACAAGAGCTCCCTTTCCTCTGCATTGCCAACACTCGTTACCACAAAACTTTTAAAAAAAATGCACAATAAAACAAACTTCGTTTAATTATAGATACGCATTATGGACTCATAAGATATATCTACGCCTTATGAAAGAGATGAAGTTTAATAGAAATAAAGTAAATTAATGAAAACCAGTGAAGTGATCAAATATACCACACCACCAAAGTCACTAGGAATTATGTCAGCCAGGAAAACGATGTGGACGGTAGCAAATGGACCACGGCATTAGCATATCGTCTACCGATCAAACTAGTCTAGAAAAGAAATGCTACAGAATGGAGAATAAAGTGATTTACAACAAATATTGCACGTTATGTACCAGATTGAAATATTAATTTTTTTTTTTAAGAGATGGCGTCTGGCTTGTGGCCCAGGCTGGAGTGCAGTGATGTGATCGTAGCTCACTGCCTCAAACTCCTGGGCTCAAATGATCCTCCTGCCTCAGCCTCCTGAGTAGCTGGGACTATAGGCATGTGCCCCCATGCCCAGGGAAATAGAATAATTTTTAAATATCAGATTTGCTGATAAAAACAATCTACCTAATAGAATTAAGTCCAAGCAGAAATATTCGAAAGACAAAGATGACATGCTGGCAGCAAAGGGGACATAGACACGAATGCTGAGGTGTGGCAAGGGGACCGAGGCTGCATCCTGGCAGCTGGTGTGGCTGCTGTGGGCACATCTCGGAGGGACTCTGAGGCTGTGGGGCTGCACATCTGCCATCCCATTTTCAGACCACGGCAGTGTTCTCAGACAGCAACGCCCCCAGAATGGAAGGAGTTAATACCAGAGCCACTGCTTTTCAAAGTGAAATGTTCCTGATGACCACACCTTAGAGCTAGCTCATTCTACACTCATAAAGTCACAGTTCAGCACCCGAGAGAAGAGGGTGAACCATCTGGCAGTGATATTTCAGTCTTTGTGTCTAAGTTTCATGCTCATGTCAGTGTTGGTTCTGACCACCAGGCAGCACAGATCTCTAGGTCTTGGGCCACAACCACCCAGAGCAAAGGGCCAAGAGCCCACCCCCACAAGTGTCCTGAAAGAGGGGACCCAGTAGCCTCAAAGCCCAAGGGCAAGTGTGACAGGGAAGAGGGACACTGAGCACCAGCACCCCACAGGACAGAGCCTGGGCAGAGGCACCCTCTTCTCACCGGGGCCCTGCGAGGCATCCCACCAGCACAGCGGGGGGCCTTTAGTACTGGGATAGGACAACCTGCGAGATACAGCTGCTGGGTGCACACGGGTTTCTGTGCAACATGGGAAGAACCTTCCAGAACAGGAAAAAGTGGCTCAAGCTCTAGCCTGGTATTGCCTGCCTGGACTTTAGCAGAGCAGGCCATGACTAAGGTCACTCTCTGTTGCTGCTTTGTCTTTTCATGATTTCCATCAACCTTACTTCTTCCTTCCTGGTGTTCTGCATAGGGGGTGGGCTGGTAAGGAGGATACTTGTAGGGGTCCCTCTGATTTCCTTCTGACAAGGGCCAGGTATGAAGTAAGTCTCCAGTGACTCTGATTGCCCAAACGTGTGTGTGTCTGCACAGGTATGCCCAGTAGGTGGGACGTGAACCAATACACCTGCGTGGGAACATGCTTATTTTGATGCAGGCCTTCCTGGGAGAAGTGAAGAACTTAGCCCTTACCTCTGGCTCAGGTAAAAGGTGATGTGATTTGCCCAGACCAAGCTCCACAAAAAAATAGCCCCATGTGTCATATCTTTTATAAGCTGACTGTACCCTGAACTTTCTTAGAAAAAGGCACAGAGTTGACTGGGCTGCAAGATAACGAACGAAAGAAGTTTCACCTGGAAGGACTATGCCACAGCCAGAACTTGCAGTGAACTGATGCAAGTAACCCATGGGAATGACACCATGTCCCTGTGGCTGAACAGAGCTCGAGCGCCTTCTAAACCCTGCCCTGATTTGCACAGCCAATCTCTGGACTGGCAGAATCAGGGGAGACCTGAGCAAACGCATGCAGGTGGCAGGAGCCCCCCGGCAAAGACTTACTTTGCAGTAGTTTCTTCATCGTATTTGGTTTTCAGGTCAAATAATTCTGTTCGAGTTTTTTCCAGGGCTGAAAGGCAGAGGAAATAAAACCACGATGTAAGACACTAATGATTTAAATTAAATTAAAAAGGGGAACATATACAAGTAATATATTCTAATTTCAATAGAGGCAGAGATGACAAAAGTACAATGAATGGAATAGGAAACCCCCTTCCACATCTGCCTCATCCAATCCCAAGCATCTCTTTAGACAATCACAGTTAATAGTTTAGTGTGTAGATTTCAGGTTGTAAAATATATTATTTAAAAATATTTACATACATAATTGTATACACACACACACACACACTTTTTTCTCCCCTTGGTTCTTGGGATGATGCAACTCTTTGAGGAGACTGGCCCTTCACCCTTGGCAGCGTGGCCTGGCCACAGGACACGGGCAGTAGTAATGACCCTTGGCTCTCCCATCAGGGGACAGAGGAAGGATGTTGCTGGGTGAATAGCTCAGACATTCAAACTTGACATCTGGACACCCATTCCCATCCCTACCACGGGTGTGACTATTCCCTACACCCTCCCCAACACTGGACATTGTGAAGTTAAAAAATTGGGCCGATTAAGTCTGATCAGGCAAAACACTGCATTGATTTAATCTGCATCTCCCTTATGTGAAGAATTGTTAGCATTTTTTCATCCGTGTGTTTGCCATTTGCCTTTTCTCTGCAAATTCCCTGTTCATATCTTTTGCTCACTGTTCTACTGGTGTTTCTCTATTTTTATGGATTCGTAGGCGGTCTTTATGTTTGTTGGATATTATTCATTTGCCTGTTAAATCTGTTGTGTTTTCTCCCACTGTATCCTTTGTGTTTGAACTTGGATTATGACGTCTTCTGATGCTCTTTCCACATTTAAATGAAATACACAGTGCTGCCTCGCTTTCAGAAAACCAGAAGAGACAAAAAGAAAAAAGAAAAGACGTTTAAAGAAACTATAAAAACTTGAGCATAACCTTTTTTGGTATCTTTTAAATTTAAAGGTCTGCAATTACTGTTCTCCCTAACTTCACTTAGGGTAGAAATAAGGTTTTTTCTTTTTTTTTTTCTATTATTGTTCCAAAATGAAATGTCAGTCCTTGACAGTTTGGTGATTTAGACGTGTTTGTTGGAGAAAGAGCAGGAAGAGAGGATGGCGTGTGGAAGGGATGAAAATGGAATTCAGATCCTCCCACTGGTGCATTAGCAACTCGGTGTCGGTGAGTAATGAGGCGCGGCAGCGCGGGCTCCCTGTGGAATTCGTGAGCGTGGGCTCGCTTGAGCTCCCACGGGCCCCTCCGGGGTGACAGGCATCAGAGGGGACCGGGCGGGACAAGGGATTGACCAAACTGTCCCCCCTTCCAGCCTTCCCTGCATCAAACAGACTAGGAAGAAGAATGTCAAACCTGTTTGCAGAGTTTGAACTTTATGTTCCGCTTCCTCCAGCTTTGACGTGGTGGACATCTGTGTCTCTTGCAGCTTTCTGAAAAGGAAGAGGATGAAGCCAAATCGGTCACCCTATTTACCAGCTTAAATGTCCTGTGTGCCTTTGTGCCACGCTCACCCTTAATCCCCTCGAGGCTGAGCGGGCAGCAGGCGCCCCGAGGGTCGTCCCCCCAAGGCCACGTGTGCCGAGGGCCCTGAAGCCTCTGCACCCTAAGTCTGTAACCGTGTGTCACACCCTGGGAAGTGCACATCCTGCAGGACTTGTCGTGTGGTAATTGGCATAGACGGTTATCCTAAATGTAACTTGTTCTTGAAATGCCAGATATTAAAAAAAAAAAAAAAAACATCATCACGCCCTCATTGTCTTCTGAAGTTAGCCCAAGAAGAATGATCCATTTACATTCTGCTGACACGACTAAGGAATCTGCTCGAATAAAGGCTGCGCTAACTAGATGGGGCAGCTGTTCCGTCTCTGCTATAATGGAATGCAAATGCCATCGCCGTACCTAATGGGGACATTCTGAACGCCCTAAACTGCATTCCACGTATTTATACTCCCATGGTCTCTACATGAATTCCCTGGTCAATAAATAGCATTCCTTCCTTCTAATCTGCAGAAACTCTCTAAAAATAAGTTTATTATTTTTACATCATATGAATATAACACATGTTCTCATAATAATAAACCTGGGAATACATAAAAGTAGAAAGGACACAGCTGAAAAAAAAATCACCCAAATTCCCATCACCTATTGTAAAACATTGCTAATATTTTCATGTACTTCAATTATAAAACTAATATATGCTAGGAGTTAAAAAAATAAAAACAATGAATATTATAAGTTTATGGAAAGTATAATGTTCTTTCTCTTCTTTTGCTCCATTTCTGTTCCTCACTGTTCTTTTGTATCTTTCTAAAATGTTTCCGTATGTACGAAAATACAATGTGATATGTAACATACTCTACTGTAACGTGAACTAGCATGTAGCATACTATAGGGAAATATAACCTAATATGTAACACACTACAGTGTGATATAAACTAATACGCAATGCTCTGCAATGAAATAGAAACTCCCTGCCCCTCCTTTTTTTTTAATACAAGAGATCAGAACACACACTGCATTCTGCAGCTTGCGTTTTCAATTATCTCCATATTTTGGAAATGTCCTACTTCAGCAAACATAGTTCTCCCTTATTCTTATTAAATAATTAACTTAATCAAGCCTCTATGGACACTTAGATTGTTTATGGTTTCTTTCTATTAAACATTTCCTTAGTGATCATTATGTAGATATTGTTGCATAATTTTGAGAGTGAATCTATTGGATAAAATTCTAACGGAGGAGTTACAATGGTCAAAGGATACATGCAGTTTTTTTTTCTTTTGATAGATATTGAAAAATTTCCCAGCAAAAAAAACTGAACAATTTAAACTCCTGCCAATAACACATGAGAGTGTTTTCATATGCTCTGCCAACACAGGATAAAATAAAATGTAATTTTTTATTGCTGAGTAAAGCTAAGCATTTCTCTTTGTATGAAATATCTGTTTATCTCCTTTGCCCATTTTTGTAGAGTTGCTTTTTTTCTTATTAATTTGTAAGAGTTCTTTGTATATAAAGAGAATTAGCTCTCTGCCTTACGTGGGGCAAATATTTCTTCCCAGTTTGCTGATGCTTTAAAAACTTTATTTGTTATTTGTTTTTAAAAATCTGTTTTAAATTTTAGGCAGTCATATTTACATAACTTTTCTTGTATACTTAGAAAGATTTCTGTACTCCAAAATTATTAAAAACAAAACATGTGCCCAAGTTTTCTTCCAGTATGTTGTGATTTAATTATTAATATTTAAATTCAAGATCCATCTCAATTTTTTGGTATAAGGAATGAGGTGAAGTTCTAGCTTCATCCCCCTAATAATTACTCCTATCTTTGACTATAATTAATCCTTTTACTTAATTTGAAAAATCAACTTAATAATATTCAATTCCCATATGAGTTTATTTCCACACTTTTGTAATGCATGAGCTTGCTGTAGGAAGACGTAATCACACTGTGTATAATTTTGTATCATGCTAGATACATTTCTCATGTTACTGTGAATTCTACATAACTATTATTTTAATGGCTGCATGACGTCCTGGTTAGGAATGGCTCGTCTTTTACTAACCCATTTCTCACTGGTAGGACATTTAGATTGTTTGCATTTTTCTCCCATTATTAATAACGTGGTGAGAAACTGCTTTGGTCATAAAGTGCTTCCCTAAGAGGCACTTACGTAGGGCTGGTTTCCCATCAGCTGGGGCCAGGCCCTGTCCATCCTGCAGAGCCCTGACTCTGCGCTGCACATTCCTTTCCTGGAGGCTGTGCCCTGCCATGTCCTCCTAGCAGGGTGGGACGCAGAGTCGGGACTGGCCTCAAGGGATGGCTTTGCTCCAACAGTGAGGATGTCAGGAGGCCTCGTCTGAGCAGAGAAGGAGGCAAGGGCTGCAGAGGTGGGGTGGCCCTGGTCTGGAGTCGCACAGTCCTGCCTCTGGCCCTGGTTAGCCACAAAAGCTGGAGCAGGCACCTCCTCGGTGGCCTAGTTTCTCCCTCTGTGAAACCAGGTGTCCTACGATGCTCATCACTGGGGGCACTCCGTGAGAGGGGGCACTGAGAGTGCCTGGCACAGTTCTGATGCACAGGGGGCACTGGGTGGGTGGCAGGTGGCAGTTTCCTTCTTTTTAAATGAAGCCAGCTTAACAGTACTCCCCAGAGGCAAGATCTTTACGGAGCTGCCTTAGAGAAGTCCAAGTGGCAGCACGTGAAGTCAACAGGAAACAATGCAACAAAACCCCACGTCACCCAGGATCCAACCTGGCCCCTTCCTTGTAACATGCATTTTGTGACTCTTGTTAATGGATACGCACATTTCTTCATGCTAGGGTTAAAATTTAATTTCTTAATTTAACCCAAGAGTTTTTAAAAGTCCGATGTAGACAGTTGGGATTGCTAAACTCAATAGTACTTACTGGTGGTTTTTTTTGTTTTTTTTTTTTAAATAAGAAATCTAACTTTCATGAACACATCACACTAGGGGAAAAACCGACTCATTATTTGTGGGAAAAGTTTTAGATGGAGTAAGCCATTAGAATGGTTTTTTTTTTTTTTTTGAGACAGAGTCTCGCTTTGTTGCCCAGGCTAGAGTGAGTGCCGTGGCGTCAGCCTAGCTCACAGCAACCTCAAACTCCTGGCTCAAGCAATCCTCCTGCCTCAGCCTCCCAAGTAGCTGGGACTACAGGCATTCGCCACCATGCCCGGCTAATTTTTTATATATATTAGTTGGCCAATTAATTTCTTTCTATTTATAGTAGAGACGGGGTCTCACTCTTGCTCAGGCTGGTTTCAAACTCCTGACCTCGAGCAATCCGCCCGCCTCGGCCTCCCAGAGTGCTAGGATTACAGGCGTGAGCCACCGCGCCCGGCCTAGAATGGTTTTTTTTTTAAGAGACAGGGTCTCGCTCTGTTGCTCAGACTGGAATGCAGTGGCCTGATCATAGCTCACAGCAACCTCAAACTCCTGGGCTCAAGTGATCCTCCCACCTCAACCTCCTGAGTAGCTGAGACTATAGGTGTGAGCCACCATACCCAGCGAATTTTTAAATTTTTTGTAGAGATAAGGTCTCAGTATGTTGCCCAGGCTGGTTTTGAACTCTTGGCCTCCCAAAGTTCTGGGATTATACGCATGAGCCACAGTGCCCAGCCCCCACCTTGCTCACCTCGGGACTCACAGGGCTCTAACAGACATCTGCAGGCCTGCTGGCTACTTGCCACCGTCTACTGATAAGTAAAGACTTACACATATTCAAGGAAACCTCACAAATGTAGAATAAAGGGGACGCCTTCATTTTTCAGACAACATTTTGCCCAGGGCCCTCGGAAATGTTAGTTACAACTTGGGCTTATTTCATAGGTCTGTTTTTTTTTCAAAACGTCTTGTAACGTGAAGCTCAGAGGTAAAACGCCAGGTCGGCCCATGTGACCTGGGCACGTGCTCACCTCTCCTTTTCTGCAAAGTCATTCTGTAACTTCTGTTCTTTCTCCAGAGCGATAGTTTCAGCTTGGTTCTTCAGAGTCTGTTCATATTCTCGGATTTTTTCTTTAAGTGCTTTTATCGTAACCTCTGCAGAAAGGAAAAAAAAAAAAAGAAACCTATAGTCAGAAAAGCACAATGCCATGCAGCTATATATACAAGGCTCTTGTAACCTGGTAGGATCGGTGTGTTTTAAACTTTAGCTCTTCAACTCTGACGCAAAATCAATGGTTACGAGTCCCTTCGGAGACCTTTTACTCCCTAAATGTTAAATTGAACTTTAAACGTTTATGTTGAAGAGGATCAATGGATTTTGCTGGGAAGAAGAGCTATGGTTTTTCTAGCACAACTTAAAAAAAAAAAAAGGAGGAAGGAAATCAATAGCAAAATATAATATCATCTTATTGATGAGTCTTAAATTAGTCCTCTACTGAGGGAAGATTAATAAAGTTTTAGTGTAGGTTTAAGTACTTTCTTATAAAGAAAATAGTTCATAATGGTGTGCACGCTTTGTAAGAAGCTGTCTTGGTGGAGTCCGGTCAGTCTACAGAGTCCCTGGCCCAGGGCCACAGCTCTGCTGGTTCACAAGCGACAAGAAAAACAGGGTGCTAAGTGGATAAAGCTCACATGTCCTCAGCTGGAGGGGATCCCCACCCTGGAGCGCCCTCCAGCCAGGTGGTCACGGGCAGTGATCGAGCCCTGCCCAGGGCTGCACAGCAAAGGGTGACTCAAGAGGCAGGGCCATGCCTGGAAAGCCCAGGCCAGATGGCTCTCGAGAGTGGCTCCCTGTATCAACTGCACGTTTATGGCCTTCACCTTGATTACCCAAACTGGGAACATCAAAGTGGACATGACGAATAGAGCAGGGTCCTCACTCAAGTCTGCAGGTGGCTCTAGGGCAGGTCTGCTCCATCTGCACCCTCCTATAGACACCCCTACATTGCTCTGTGAGCCAGTTCAGCCCTGGAGGAGCACTGTGGCTCCAGCCCCAAGGGGAGTGCTGCTCCTGGGGAGTGTCACCTGCTGCTTACAGATCCACCTCTAAAAAGGCGAGGCTGAGTGTCTTTTCCCGGTACCTGGCACAGGTGGGTGCTCAGGAAAGGGTTATAGCATGAATGAATGAAGGAGCCAAGGCCCAGACAGGGTGGAGGAGGCCCAGACAGGGCTTGTAGCAATGGGGCTCCAGCTCATGGGACAAGGCTGCCTGCCAGGTGTGTCACTCATGGCCACTCCTGCTCCCTGGGCTACAGAGACACATGCTGGCCAGGGCAGGAGCACACAGCAAAGAGGCAATTAACAGCCACATGACCCAGTGGATACAAGCTAAAGGCTCTTTTGTTAAGACAAGAAAATTGGCCCTTTTCATTGGGGGAACCCAGTAAGCTCTCCTTAGAGAGAGAGATGGAACTCAAAAACGGACCCTGTCTGAGGATTTGAAAGAAGAATGATGCTTCTTCATGCCTTTTGGTATGCCTGTTTTAGGCACGGAAGGAACGCTTTGTGAGCACAGTGGTTGGTGACACATTACTGTCAGGCCACACTAACAGGGCCAGAGTTAGGCAAGAGTAGGACACTTTCAAGATCGACACCACATGGGTCAACTCTGAAAAAGAGGCATCGCTCTTCTAAGTCAATGGTCTATGCGACTGTGTAAACATACGGCATTTTTGCCTTTGATGACGGTTTGGAAACATCTGTCCAGCACCTGGACCCCAGGGCTCCTTCCAATGGGGCTCTGCAGGAGGACACATCTATTGGGGCACTGCCATGTGCTTCTGCTCTGTGCCTGGGGTGGGGGGCTCTCTGCCACCCCCACCCTGGGTGGGCTGCTCACTGACTGGCCCAGCCTAAGCCAGAGGCCAGCTCGTCCTGGAGCCGCTGGCCCTCAGCTGTGTCCAGGCTACGCCTGGCTGGCATGCCAGGAGGGGCACCAACGCGCTCGGCACTAATTAGCTGTGCCCGGGGCCTTGGTTCACACATCTTGAATGGGGGTGGGGGAATTATAGCATGTGATGCAGAGGTTCCCTTTCTGTGCTGATGTTTTAACCGTGTGATGATTAAAACAAGTGATGTGCACCCCTCACCCTTCCACACTATGATCATTCTACGCTGGAAGAGGGGAGGAAAATGGCATTTTTCTGGAGGTTGGGAAAATTTGTTATCAATAAATAAAGGGGGAGGAATTTCTCACAAAACCAACAATGCTCAATAAATAGCTGATACTCAATGAGTGCTAAATGCTTTGAACACGTACTCTCTACAACAGCCATATGTGGCAAGAATGAGAACTGACCCAAGAAAAAGAGGCTTTTAACAAAGTGAGATGAGTGGTTCAACGTCACACAGCTAGGTAGTGGCAATGAAGGGACCCAAACCAGGTCTGTCTGTCTGCCTCCATAGCCTTTCTTAAGTCTTGGATTATGTATCTTATTTTTAAAAGCCCATTAGGCCAGGCATGGTGGCTCATGACTACAATCCTAGCACTTTGGGAGACTGAGGCAGGAGGATAGCTTGAGGTCAGGAGTTCAAGACCAGACCTAGCAAGAGCGAGACCCCATCTCTACAAACAATAGGAAAATAAGCCGGGCGTGGCGGCATGTCTGTAGTCCCAGCTACTTGGGAGGCTGAGGTGGGAAGATGGCTTGAGCCCAGGAGTTGGAGGCTGTGGTAAGCTATGATCTTGCCACTGCACTCCAGCCTGGGTGACAGAGAGAGGGCCTATCTAAAAAAAAAAAAAGAAAAGAAAAAAGAAAAGAAAAAGCCCATCAGATGAGGTCTCAGGAGGGAGAATGTCCTGAGCTCAGTCTGGCTCCTGGTCACCCACGTGCGAACCCCTGGCCCCAGCAGAGCAACTGGCAACAGGGGACAAAGGGAGCAGAAATCAGCACAGCCCTCTGGGCTCCCACTTGCACGTCCTCCAATAAAACAGAAGCAAACTAAAAAACCAGAGTGGATCTGCCAAATTAGATGCCAGAGGTCACTGAAGGAAAAACAGCCAGACACTGGTTTTGGGCAGCACTCCTGCGAAAACCCAGTATGCACATGAAAGGTGACCTGTCCCCCGAGTGCTGGGGGATTCTCGGAGGGATCCCAGCTCAGCGGTTTACTTTCTAGCGGTACCTAGCTGTCCCTTCTGGTCCCAAAGCTCACCACTCCTCTGTAGAGCCAGATCCAGGTGGGGTCTGGACTGGTTCTGGCTCCCCCAATTCCTGCAAGGAGGCCCTGCTGGCCCAGGGGCTTGAGCACCCCAATGCCTGTGGGGAGATGTGCTCAGAAACCCCGAGGGAGGGCCCTGGAGACCGCTGCCCTCGTAGTCCCAGCTGTTACCTCCCAGCTCTTCCCACACCATCTCAGTCTCTGGATCCTTTCCACCAACGATCCCTCCTCCTGAGTCTGTCTCCAATGTTCTTAAAGTCAAAGGATCCTTTTAAAAACCTCCATCCATTAACTCTTCACAGAGCACTCCAAGTACATTCATTAGAAGGCCACTGAGAGCAAGTGAGCCGCCTCTCCTTCCTCTGTCCTTCCTCGCCCACGTCCCAAAACAAAACCAGACAGGCCAAACCATTACTCGGGGTTGGCTGAAAAACGTGTGGCTGTTATCTGATGGGGCTGTGATTTTTCTTCAAGACCAGGAAGCCACAAGGCTCCGAATACCTCTGGATTTTAGGTACAAGGAGGGATTTCTTTGTTCTTCCCCAACAGGAAAAGCCAAGCAACCTTTGCCCTTTCTGTCTTGTTGAAGGCGGGGCAGCCACACCAAGAGGTTGTTTTCGTTCATTAAATTTGTAATGAGTAGGCCACGATGACAAGGAAACAGCAGTGCTTAAGTATGCAGCCTTCAAGGATGGGTCTGAAGCCTTAATGTATTGGCAGCGACTATTAAATGACTTACTGTGTGTGCCTCTTTGATCATGAGCTCGCTCTCTGACAGGTGTCGCCTGCAGGCAACCCATCAGTCTTTTGAAAGGCAGATCCTATCACATGATGACACAGGAAGCATTTTCAAAAAATCCCGATCAGTCCCGTCAGAAGGCAATAAAATCATACGCAGTTATTGTGCAGAGGAAAAGTTTTTCTTGTAAATAGCTAAGCTTTGTCATTATCCCTCTTTAATGATTCAGACGCCTGCCCCACCCTGACCGTATGACACGCAGTGTACAATTAGAGCTAGTCCCAACAGTCCGGGGAAGGCAATTTAAACAAAAAAAGCAAGAAAGAAAAGGGAAAGAAGGCATTTTCCACCAACCTTGATTTTTCACTTCGGCAAATTCCTTGTTGTATTCTTCGAGAGTTTCCCTAAGTTTCTGGTTCTCTGTTTCAATATCGTGCAGGCGCTGCACTTTGAGCTGGAGCTGCTGCCCGAGATCCAAAGCCGGCACCGGATCTGCACGACAGGAGAAGACATGTCACCCCACTCTGCACCCAAAAGCGCCCTCTCCGTGGGGGCACACAGGTGCAACTCAGGTCTCCGGGAAAGTCAGCTCTGCAGGCTCCCTGGGGCAGACTCAAGTCCCCTGTGGCCTTGCCCGGAGCCCCCTTGCTGGAGGGGGTTTCTCTGCTGCTTTGCAAAAGGAAGGACTCACTCTAGAGTCCTTTATGGGTGAAAAATGGGGTGGCAATAGCCATGGGGCTCACTAGTATTTGCCAAGCACTCTGGCCTCATGCACCATTTTCTGGATTTTTATTCTTTTATCTGGTAAAAAGAAAAATACACGAGGCAGCAGCAGGAGCTCCAGAAGATCAACCACACGCCCAGAGCTGAGCCTGGAGGACAGACAGGCCATGGAAGTGCCTGTGAGTTTAAAGTTTCCAATGACTGTATGAAGTTGGAAATAACAGCTGGTACCCTGAGAGTGTCACAGACTTCACAGGACACGTTTATGGACACTTTCTCCTTTGAGCCCTACAACGATCTCTCCTACAAGAGACATGGGAAACTGAAGCTCGGGGAAGCTGAGTGACTTGCCTGCGGTCACCAGGCTAGTTAGTGGGCACGAGTCTTGGAGTCTGTCAACTCAAAGTGACAGTTCTTTACAACTAGAAAGTTCACTCGGAGGAGCGGAGGAAGCAGAAGCCACCCTATTCCAGGAGATGATCGCTTTTCATCACTATCCCCCTTCACCGACGAAGGATGTTCAGAAGAGTCAGGGGTTAGTGGCTAAAGATCCGAAGGCTGCAGAACCCGATAGAAGCACAGCTGGTGACCCAGAGTGACCCCTGCTGTGGGCAGCCAGCCAGGAGGCCACCGCGCTCCTGATCACAGTACTAAGAACTGAACAGCATCCAGCCCAGTCACATGAAGTCTTGTGGCCACGTCGATGTGCTATCTGCCATCAGATAGCACATTACTTACAAAAATCCAGATTTTAACCCCAAGCTAGAGATTGCAGATGTGAAATTTACAGTACTGACTCTTAGGGTTTGGTTTTTGCCATTAACTCAGCACAAGATGGAGAGACATTACATGTTCTTCCACATTGGTTCCATCTCCTGTTTCCCTCTGCTGCCCCTGAGGCGATTATAATCCACCTGCTGGTGCCCACGGAGTGACTTTCTTTGGAATTCTCAGGCTCTGTCAGAGTCGAAGAATACCCGAGCCCACTGGGCTTAGGAAGATTACTGAATATATTTCTGGTATGGGCGCCAGCGTCACTTGTGAGACGGCTGCAGAGATTTAGTCTCCTGTTGCGGAATGCTAAACACCAGGCACGGCGGATCAACAAGGGTATATATTCAAGAGCTCACTTAGTTTTCAAATGCCAGGGCCATTAATTTTTCAGACCACCCTTGGTTCCTGGAATTGAGGGCCGGGTCTACCATGCCTCAGTCAACGCATCCACCAGGAGCCAGGAACTCCTTGGGATGCCAACGTCTGCTCAGAGTTTACAGAAGGCAGGCGCTGGGCTCTGCTGAGCTCGGAGTCGGCAGCCCAGGCTCCGTGCGCTGGGGTTTAACACCAACACTGTCCATCATCACGCAGAGCCCTGGCTGCCAGGCATTTACCCTGAGTGCGTGTACGGTTTATGGCCGCATCGCTTTCTCATTTATAGCTTTTCACTATTATTTTAATCAGCACTAAAATATTTACATTAAATTAGATTTCAAAAGCTATTTTGCGGAGATGGTTCTTTACAAGCGGGAGTAGTGATAACACGAAAAACAGAATCCTCGGAACATTCTAGGTTTTTTTGTCAACTATTTTCCCAGGGTACCTTCTCAACCTGCACCCTTCCTGACCTCCATGGCCTCATGCTGGGCGAATGGCCTGCAGGAAATGAACAAATGAACAGTCTGTCCATGGGCCCTGCACACAGAACTACTACCTGAACCTGAACAGAGGTCACGGAAAGAGTGGGGGGTGGGGAGGGGGCATTGCGCTTGTATAAAAGTCTATTACCAGTCACTCATGTAGGCTTCCCAGCACAACTGCCAGTACAAAGTATATTTTTCAAGAACTAAGCTAGCATACTGCCCTCTATTCCTAACATTTCTGTTGATAACGTTTCCAGTTCATTCTTTTTAAAAGGCCAGGACCCCACTGTATCTGCTTCGAATAAAAACTAGCTTCTTTCAAGTGATTCAGCAAGGAAGCCAGTGACATATAAAAATAACAAGCACATTATCAAGTGAATAGTAACTAGACCTTTACGCACATTTTCAGAGTGTTATATTGTAAATGAAAATTCAGGCAATCTCATAATTATTCATTATGGCATGTATATTTAATTTAACACTATTAAAGGTTAATGCCTAAGTAGCAAAACTGGTCACAGAATAAAGGATGAACTGAATGTTCAAACATCTCTCTGCATTAAACTCCAAACTTTACTACAGCACAGTGGATGACTAAATGCCTGTAGCATCTGAATACTGTTTTGGGATATGTAAAAGGCATTGCTAAAGTACCTCTTAGGCTTAATTTTTATTACTTGTATTAAAGGAACAGCTAATTACCACATGACAATATAATGACTCTAGCATGTTTGGGCTAGAGACCAAAACAATGAATTTTGGCAGGCCAAACCCCAACCTGCATGTTAATCTGGGGAAATCATAGCTTTTTGTCTCGTTAATGATTTCCAATGCCATTTAAACCCCACACAAGTATTGTTAGGTCTTATTCTGAATGTCAGAAGCCTCCGATCTCAGCAGCTCAATTAGAGAACTGTCTGGGGGAGGCGAGAGAACACACCCATAGGTAAAACAGGAACTCACAGAATCCGGTAACCGGTCTTCCCAGCATCTTCCAATTCAACGTGCCTGCCAGGTCCACCCACCCGGCATGACACACTCGCAAAGTGCTTTACAATCATCTAATGGTTAATTCCTAAAACACTCTTTGAGGTATTATATAGCTCATTATGCAACATGGGACTCCAAGAACATGCTAATAATTATAAAAAACAATAACAATACTGCCATTTGTATTTATCCAGCTCCTTTTCCTGTGCATGTAGCATCATCTCGTTAATTCTGGCCATCACATGGTCAGCGGCCAGAGGGAGCTCTGCCATGTTCTGGGTGCTGGTGGCATCTCACCCAGGGACGGGGGTGGGGGGAGGGGGGTGGGGGAAGGAGCCGGCCAGGCAACCGGGTATGCAGAATTCTAATTAAGATTTCTGCTTCCTGAACCAGCAGCCAACTAAATTATACTGTCTTCTTCAAGTACTCATTTAACAAGTATTTCCAAAGCAACTACCTGCTCTGGGAAAGGCCTGGGCCAGGCACCAGCAAGGGCACTTGGCCAAGTCTGCAGGGATCTGTCTCACAGAGCAGATAAGCCACGTAAGTCAGTGACCCAAGATCACGTACGTGGAAGACACTCCTGGGTGGAGAGACTGGGAAGAACAGCAAATTTTTTTTTTTTTTTTTTTTTTTGTAGAAGAGGTGACACTTGTGTAGTCCCTTTAAAGGACACACAGAATTCAGACCTGTGGGGACCAGGAGGCGGTGTCAGTCCATGAGAGTGAGAGAGCAAGGAGTGGGGAGAACGAGGCACAGGCCAAAAGGACACTTCACTGTGATGCCAGCAGCTGAGGTGCACATTCTGTGACGTCCGACTGTTCTAGGTACGGAAGGGACACACGGTGAACAAGACACAATCTTTGCTCCCAAAGGCCTGACCTTTTAGTGATGTGAGAGAGACGGACAAGAAGAAAAGCCAAACAAAACCAAACATTTTCAGGTATAGACAGTCCCCGACTTAACGAGGTTCAACTTAAGATTTTTTTGACTTTAAAATGGTGCGAAAGCGATACACATTCGGTAGAAACTATACTTCGAGTACACATGGACCATTCTGTTTTTCACTTTCAGTACAGTATCCAATAAATTATGGTGGATATCAAACACTTATTACAAAATAGGCTTGGTGTTAGATGAATGTGCCCAACAATAGCCTAACGTAATTGTTATGAGCACATTTAGGGTAGGCTGGGCTAAGCTATGATGCTCAGCAAGTTATATATTAAATGCATTTTGGATTTATGATATTTTCAATGTATGATGGGTTCACTGGGACACAGTCCCATCGTAAGTCCAGGAGCATCTGTACTGGCCAGCACGAAGAAGGGACAGTCACAGGGAGGTGGTGGAAGGGGTCCTGGAGACAGGTGGACAGGAAGGGCCTCTCTTAGGAAGTGAGCTGGGAGGGAGATCCAGACAGTGATGGGGGGATGCTGTGAGGATTCACTCTTGGCAAAGGCAGCAGCCAGTGCAAAGATCCTGGGGTGGGTGTGAACGTGGCACATCCAAGGCAGGTGCAGCTACAGTGAGAGGACGGGAAGAGTGGGCAGGGGGGGAGGAGCCGGGAGCAGGGAGAAGATTTAAAGAAAAATAGTAACGAAATGAGTAGAGAAATATAAGAATCAAACTGAATTCTAGAGCTGAAAATAGAATGTCTGAAAGGAGCCGAGCGCAGAGCTGAGATTCGATTCTATTCCTTCCAGGAAACCATTGGCAGAACAGGACCCTTCCAAGTGGAGCCCCTGTGGCACAAGAAGAAAACCACAGTACTTAAAGCCACCGAAGGGTTTGTTGGTTTTCTCTCTTGGCAAAAATATGTAAGAGTTTTAAGCTTAAAGATGAGCTGCACAATTTTCTTTTAAAAAGCTAAGTGATCCAAATTAGCTGGTCCATACCGCGATGGCAAGTGGCTGTCGTATCAGAAACACGCTGCCTGCTGGACGTTATCGAAAAAATAAACGCGTACTCCTTGTCTCTGAAGTAAATGTGGTACTTCAATACTTATCGAGGAGTAAAACTACTTCTTGAAAGGAAGTCATGCTATAGAGACAGCGTTCTGAAAATCGAAATGCTCCCGTCATCATGTATACTTATGGGAAAAGACAGAAAAAGCCTCTACAAAAATGCCTCAATGTCTCA